CAAGTACATCCTTTCAAACAGAACTTTTTATTGAACATCCAACATTGCAAATGAAATGTTTCATTTGCTCCCAGCTGGGAAAACAGAATGGGGTGGTTGTGTTTCAGGTGCAGTTTAAGGTTGGTCGTATTGCTAGCTTTTGTTGCTACCTCTTTAAAAGAAATGCCGAACACCGCCCGGCTCATTCAAGTCCGTAGGTTCGCCTCGTTGATTTGGCTTGAATCTCAAATATTCCCACACCGGAGATGGAGTTAGGTTTTGCAACCAATTCCATCTAACTTCACTGGTTGATAACCACAGAAGTCGTATCGCAGTTTAATCTGAGCGGATCACTGTTTACCACAGCTCTCCACGCTGCGTTGGAGATGGGTGTAAACAACTCAGACAGGCTGTATGTTTCACTAACAGACTGTATGAAAGTATAAACGGGTCTCAAATCAACTCAACATCATATTAATAATGATGTATGATACAAATATAAGACACAGAAGTCGTATCACAGTTTATCCTGGGCGGATCACAGCTCCACAGCTGAAGACTTCTCCACGCTGCTGTCAAACTGTGAGTAAACAACGTGTGCTTCACTTGGTGGCTGTCTGAAGGTATACACAGGTCTCAGATGGACTTGGTATCACATTTAAGAATGATATTCAGTAATAAGTCTGGCAAAAATAAATGGTTTAAATTATTTATTCAAGCTTGCAATGTTTTGAACACACATCCCCAGTCACCTCATGTGTCTTTTTGTAGTCCTCGCTGTACGCGTCCGCATATCGGCATCGCAACCACAACCTCACACACTGGTACTGAATGTGCATCAAAGTGTTCCTATGGAGCCAAATATACCAAAAGATTGATGTAAACGACAGAAGAAGCGATCAAAATGTGTATTTCCTGGTTATTCGACAAAGGCCACGCCCCTGATACATCTGTCTATACCGTTATAGAATATCACCAGTTGTTCGGCCCGCATCTTATTCGGTAACACCGGCAGACACAGCGCGCCTGGCTAAAATGCTGGTCACATCCTTATGTAAACAAACACGCATGTAAACGGCAATTTATCGAGGTCAGAAAAGTTATCAAGTTCATTTTTATTTATCGTACGATAAGTCAATTAATTGCTTATCGCGACAGGCCTACTTGCAGCGTCAATTTACCTGTTGGGTTACTTCTGTCATCAAATCAAATGGACTGATTTCATCTGAGTGTGCATGTGGACTCACAATAAGAACAGAGTTGGAAATAAAACACATGGGTTCATAACAAATGATTTAGCAATTGGATTGTAGCTCTCTGAATTGAAATCAGATCATAAAAGAGATTTCAAGTTTTAGTTCTTTCCTGATGCATATTGTGACATATTGTCGTCTCATGATCATTTGGCCCATCCTGTAACTGAAGTTGTGTTGCAGCTTTAAAGGAATACCACAATAAAATAATTTCACTCAC